GTGAGCAGAGACTGCTTCCAAAGGCTGCCTTGCACCACTGAAGACCCTAAGGGCAACAACCACTCCACCCTCATCATTTTTTCTCAGCTGGAGGCTAGAAACAAGCTGCCACGTGAACTATGTAAATGATGAAAGCCGGGCGAATTACGAAAGCACAACAAACCTTTTCTTGCCCAGCTTACAGGAGCTCTTCCCTGCTCCTCCCCCGCGTTCCCCATCAAGATCCATGGCGACTTACGGAAAAACCACAGCCTGTCAGCCAAAGTACACCCGGAGGAGGCCGGCGGGGGGGAGCGTGCGCTCCCGGACTCTGCACCGCTGAAGCCGGGACCAACACGGCGGTGGCGGTGGTGCTGTGTGTGTCGGGGGTCCTGTGGCTGGGCCTCCGCGTACAGGCGAAGGGACCCCACCCCCACCCCGCTCCTGCCCGGCGGACGCCCCAGCCTCGCCCCCAGCTCCCAGGCCAGGTCTCCGGCCCGCGTGGACCTCGCTCGGGGCAGCGGGACCCAGTGTCCGTTGCTCGCGCCGAAATCTACCCGCCCGGTCTACTCCGGGAGCTTCTGCTTCTCGGGCGCCTGGAGAAGTGACCCCGCGGGGGCCTCAGGACGTCCGCAGCCCCGCCATGCAGGACGCCCTTCTTCCACGGGGACTACATTGCGGAGCCCGACCGGCCGCAGAACTCCGGAATCCGGTCCCTAAATGCATGAGCCCTAACTCCGGCGACCCGGGGGGACCCCCAAAGTCGTATGCTTTGGGGGCAGAGCGCGACTGCAGTGCCAGTCCGGCAGAGGAGAGCAGCGACCAGCGCTCTAAGGAGCCGGGGTGAGAATGTGCCTGGGTTTGTAGCCTACGAGTGATGCAAACAAGAGTGAATCACACCCAGGCGTGGTCGGGCGGCTGGGCGCGGTCTCGCGGGGCTGCTTCCGGCCAGGGACCTTATTGCTGAGGTTGTGAAGGGTTTGGCTTTCCAGGGGCGCCCTGGATTCTTTGGCTCTTCTTCGAAGGGTGCATGAATCATCAGGAATCAGGTCTATACCTGTCCACGGAAGTCTCCAACTTTAAGGGTTTATGTGTGGATGCGCTATTGGCTTCCAGAGACTGGAAGGGCTAAGGGAACTGTTTTCTGACATCACATCTCATACAGTTCATAAAGCAACATCCATTTTATACTTAAATCTTACTTATCAACACCTCTAAAAATGCACTGAGAAATGTTTGCGCTTTGCGCAGCAGGTGGCCAAACCACTGAGTTAAATCCCTGGCCCATAACATGCCAATTTTTTTCCCTCCCGGTTCTAATTGGTTTCAGCAATGGTTCACTGTTTAAACGGTTACGCTGTAAACCAGCTGGGCAAATGTACAAGCTTTCGTCTTAATCCCATTCATTTTTACTTCTTTTCATGCTTCTACTCTGTTTCCACTATATCCCATTATCCCACGATTAGTTTATGCAGTCCTGTTACATTTTATGTACCCTTCTGAATGGCCTGAAATCCTCTGTAAAGTAGTGGGGCATGGTTTTAAAAGTATTATATCATGCTGACCATTTTATTTCTCCAGTTTTAGGCATCAAGTTGTTCCGGAATCCTAGAAAGAAATGCATGGAGACACAGAATTTGGGTAAAATAACAAAAGGCTTTAATTGCAAGCAAGTGGGACCACCAGAAAACTGGTCTGCTCAGTTCCACCCCACCCCCCACCCCCACCCTGCGTTCCTTGTCCATCACCTTTTATACTTTTGTCAGTCATTATCTCATCCCTAATGGTCTTTGTTAAGTAAATAAAGTTCCAATTCCTGTTTAATGGTTAGACACAGGTGGTGTCTGTCACTGATGACAGTCCTAAACACATGACAGTTACAGTGCATATATCACAAGTTTGTTCAAGGATTCCACTTTGTTCTTCAGAGCTAAGATGTTATCTATAGTGGAGCCACAGATCAAAGGAGCTATATAACCTTCACTTTAAACAACAAAAGCAATGGGCTAAGGCAAGCTTTTAAAGGGATACACCACCTATTTTGCTTCTACAACTACTTTAAATAGTTAATCTACTAAACTTACTTTAAAACTTCCCTATCAAAGTGAAGATCTATGTCAAGGACCCATCTAGGTTAAGGATCACAATAGCCAGAGATTTTTAAATAAGTTTTAAATAAAGCATTCCATTGTTTTTTGAGTTTCTTCATCCCAATGACTTGAAAATATGAATATAAACTATGATAAAGCTAAGACAATGGCTAATCCTGCCTATGCTACTTCCACACCATAGTCCTTGGCTTATTTTAAGACATTTGTGTTGCATTACTGCCCACCACTCTTGCTAGACTGCTCTTAGTACTTTCTCCTCAGCTTCATCAATCTCCAGTGAAATTCAATCACCACCCCCCTTTCCAAGTTGTCACACAGCATCATCCAAGCAGCTACTCCTACTCCTTGAAGCGTTTGTCTCCACAGCCTGCATTTTTCCACCCTCCACCCTCAGTAGTCACTTCACCTGTAGTGGCAAAGCAGAACAGCTGGGTGCTATCACCAAGTGTTACGACTCTTAGGCACACCTGAGTGTTACAGCTCAGCATCTGTAGCTACCACAGTTTGAAGACTCAAAAATAGGAAGGTCACTCAAAGATAAGAAGAAAATCCTTTCATTATGCCAACGGCTCAGTGGAGTTACCACTCTGAAGTCTGAGCCCTTGATTAAAAATGGGAGCCTTCTTATATAGGGGTCTAGGGATAGGCCTGCAAGGTCATGGAAGCAAAGGAGGTGGAGTTACAGAACGTTTCTGAAAGGCATAGTGGGCAAGGATGCTCACAGAAACAGAGGGGAGAAGCTAACAGAACATTCCTGAGAGGTCAGAAGTTAAAAGTTAGAAAAACATTGTTACATTTCTGGACCAAACATTCTGTGGGCAACGTGCAGGCAAGGCAAGGGCCTGTCTAATTGTATAGTATTACTCTATCTTCTCAATGATGAAGACTGGGCCTCTGCTGCACTCTATCCTATATATGTTGGGTGGAATAATGATAGTAGTAAAATTAATGTTTAACAATTTTTACTAGTACACATGTACAGTACACAGGGTTTGCAACCATCTTAGGAAATACATATTTAGTTCTTCTTATTCCCCTTCTCTTCCCTTCCTTTCCTACTCTCTCCATCTCTAGACTCTCTTCTCCCAATGTTTTTCATGCATATTTGTGATGCATAATGACTTCATTGGTTGTGGGCAGCTGGTATGTGTACATAACACATCGCAATTCTTTTTCTGTGTCCTTTCCTCCTGTGCTCCCCATGCTCCATCTCTTGGGCTCCCTTCCAATTTGCAAAAGATCTAGCTACCTGTTTCCTATTATCTATTTTGCTCTTTAATTTATTTATACTTTGCATTTCACACATAAGAAAAATCATATTTAAGCTTGTGTGTCTGATTTATTTCATGTAACATTATGGTTTCAAGGTACATCCATTTTCCTACAAACTACTCAAATGTATTCTTCTTCCTGGCAGAGTATACTTCACTGGGTATAAATGCCACATTTTCTTTATCCAGTCATCTGTTGAGGGACATATAGGCACTGGTCATGTAACTCTCCCAAGAGATTCAAGGAGATTAATTAATTTAATTTTCATAAGCACCCCATGAAGTGACGAGTGTTACTGTTATTCCCATTTTAGAGTGAGAGAAAATGAAGTTTTTACTGATTCACCAAAGTCAAACAGCCTGTTAGCAGCTGACTCAGGATTTGAAAGCAGACCATTGCTCATGACCACACTCTTAATACTGTACAACACTACTACCTGCCTTTTCAGCCCCATGAGACATTTCCTCTTACAGGTCCATCTTAGAAAAGCTTCAGGGGCTCCCTGCCACAAACTACATCATAGCTAAGAATTCTCTTACCTCTTAAGAACTACAACACATTGCTTCTCTGCAACCATCAACTTTATCCCCATTACTTCCTTACACTGTCTCTCCAATGCCTCTGTGTTTATTCCATTCCAGCCAAACTCACTATGCCTCTCAGGTGACTGACTGATCTTTTCTCATTTTGTGCCTTTCCACATATAAATCTTTAAATTAATTTACCCAACTTCTCATTTTTTATTACTTTGCTCCATTAAACAAGCCTCAAACCTGGAAAAACAAATGCAAGCACTTTCTTGGCTGTTCTTCCTGTGTATGTTTAAACAAACTACTTAACTAAATTTTTGTCCCTCAGCTATATCTTTGAAAAAGAATATATTCTTATGCAAACTTACAATGCTTGTGATATTAAGTGATTTATGTATTTAAAAGTCTTGTAGGGTGACTAAAACACCCCAAACACTAGACAATGGCCACAATAACTGTATATTAGCAATAAACCTTGTTTTCCATCTATTTTTACCTTCCTTGACATTCTTCAGAACTGAAACATGTATATGCATTTACTTATCAATAAATGTTTAATCAGTTATTCTGATTAACACTGCAGGACACAAAAAGATATCCACACTTTCTATAGCAGAACAAAAAAAAGGTTGAAGAAAAATATAATAGTGAAGATAACAAATAAATATGGTAGTATTTCATAATTCTGCACTTCTCCAAGTGTCAGTCATCCTGAATGTTACAATAACTTTATAAATGTTCTCTCTGCTTCTACTTTGACCTCCCTCTTAACAGATTCCCTCTTCCCAACAGGATTTTCTTCAGAGTAAAACAACTAAAATCCTGTCACTATCCCTTGGCTCCCCCCTCACTCAGAGCCAAATGCAAAGTCCTTCCAATCATGGGGAAGACTCTGCATAATCTGGGCCTCCTTATCCCTGACCTCACCCCTGTCACTCTTTCCCACCTTGATTCTGCTCCAGCCTCAGCAGCCTTCATTCTGTTCTCTGAACACCCACCCCAGGCCCTTGGTGCTTAACTGTCATCAGCCTGCAACTCTCTTCCCTTAGTTAGGTGTACAGAGGGACTCAGTTCTTCATTTTTTCCCAGATCTTTACTCAAATGTCACGCTATTTTGTTCATAGCACGTAGGAACAGTGGTGCATGGTGTGTGCTCAATAAATGTGTTAGGTAAATGAATGAAAAAATGAATGTGCAGTTTGAATGAGCAAAATGTGGAGCAAATATAAAATTAGATAGAAACTTTTGGCTCTGAGAGAACATTGCTTTTATTTTCTACGCTGCTGAAAAACATTTAAAATGCTTGAAGTTATGTTTCTTGAGATGTTATCTATAAACCCAGTCTTTCCTCAGCCAA